TATTTCATGTATGAAAACTTCCAAACGCATAAAGAATTCAGAGTCTTGGCTGGATAGGTGGATTAAATGTTTACAGAAAGCTCGTAAGTATTATCAATTTCTTGTAAAAGATACCGTCACGTCTGCAGCACCACTCTTCAGCGATTGAACTCCCTGAGTGATGTGACATGGGATGAATGGGGTAATGCTGCGATATCTTTCCTAGAGCTCTGTAATCAGACATACACCAAAGGGCAGCCGTCACTCTGTGGCATTTCTGACAAAGCAATAACCAGATTACTGTTAGCTCTAGGAATGTCATCGCTGAATCTCATAGTCCGTGTGCTGAATACAAGAGGTGAGATGAAAATGGAGTTACTCGCCGGAGGAAGAGTAACTGAGCCAATGCTTATTGTGAAGGCTGGCTCTAATCCTTAATGGATAATGACTTTAAAATGATGAACTTTATTCTCTGTTGAATGCAATCATTTTTCACACCGAAGAATATCTGCAAGTAGATATTTTTTAATTGTAGATCACTGGAAAGTAATGTTTTCAATCAGTGCACTGTTTATTTAGCAGTGTTGATAATTACACATGGAAGATGCTCTATTAGCACAGAAACTAAAATTTTCTGTTTATACAGGCCAGATACATAGGGGGAGGGCCCACTGCATTCAAGCTTCCCCACACAACTCCATCAGTCTACCTAAACTCTGACTTGAAAGGACCACTATCAACAGGGGTGAGAAATGATGATTCAAATCCATTTCATTCCACCACAGCCCCTTTCTAAATAAAGTTTGTCATGTTAGAATAGATGCATTTTCTGTTTGTTTTTAATTTTGTTTTTCTTCTTTTAATGGCAAGAATAATGACAGTAAATAATACAGTTTCTATCTGAAATAAAGGGTTCCTCTCTGCATACAAAATTTCATCTGTACGCATCATTGTAACATCATCTAAAACTGCAAATGTGTCTTTGCAAAGGAATACAAAACCAGTAAGCAATGTGGTGCTTTTCCATAGCGCTATACAAATTTAGTGTAGCATTCACAACCATGTCTCTCGGTGTATTTGCAATTTATACATCATTACAGGCATTTAGTGAAGTTTTTCAAACTGAAAGAAGTGCCCAAATAAATGAAAACAAGTCCTTTTATTTTAGAGGAATTCGATACACACTAAAATTAACAATTCCCTTTAATATTTGCAATGCAGTTAACGATTGCTCAGCTTTCAATCAATTTTTATCATAAAACAGTTTCTTTTAAAACATCAGAATTTGACTACAATTTAGCATGATATTTGCAAATATTGAAATTTAAAATATTAAAAATGAACATTAATGTGGCATTCATTGTCATGTGCCTCAGTATATATACACTCATCTTCTGTACCGTTTGTGTTCTCGCATGGTTGTAATATGTTGTATTTGGAAGTTTAGCAATTTGTATAGGGAATGATATTTCTGATGGAGCACAAAACCAGGGATAATGAAAGCTAGACTATGCCCATCTCTAACATTAACTTTTTCTGTTATTCAAGTCACTCCAGTTACCTTCTATACCTCACTGTACTGCGTTATGCTATCAGTACCCACTCAAGGAATTAGCATGAGACAGAGCCTACTATTTCACATAACTTTAATAACTCCATAAGGCATTATATAGATGCCAATTGTCTCTGTTCTGTTGTCGTTATCATCCTTAATAATGATTGTCAGTGAAACAAAAAGTGCCGTCAATTGAAATAAAACTAAATTTCTGATTATAATAATTTCAACAAATGTAAAGATCTCTAATTCAATGGGGACAGACGGGTCCCCATTTACTGAGAGTTTGCTCTCATAAATATGAGATATATTTATCTCATAAATATGAGATAAACTCTCTCAAAACTTATTTATGTTCCTTTCATGTAGAACAGTAGCTTCTTCTTTCTTTCTTTGTTTAAATAAATGTAACTCAACTTTTTCTACCTCCATTCCAAGAAAGTTTGAAACACCAGGCAATCACTTTGTCTTCTGTAGTGAATGGAATAGGCAGCTTTTAACTTATTAAAGTAGCTGCTGTAGCTAGCTGGGCTAAGGAATATCTGAATCCTGGGTTCAGAAATGGTATTGACCAACAGGGAAAGGAAGAGCTAAGATTCTAGACATCTTTAATTCCTTGTTACCCAGGGTATACTCAGGATATTTTAAAGTCTAGAAAACCAACCCGCTTCTGTTATAGGTAATTCAAAGTTTAGCCACTTCTCACATATACCGAACAAATGAATTTACCTACTTTATAGCTTACTGGTGTCCCACTGAGTATGTGTGTAGGCAAAGCTGTGCTGTTTCGTAAGTTGTAAGAAAGAGGAAGATTTTCACCACAAGGTACCCTTTCTAGTTGTTACGGGTAAAAAGCTGTAAGGGTAAAAAGTTGGATAGCAAAGCTCTTCTAGGAGACAATAAAGGCACAAAGTATAAAGGCAATATTGGAGACGTTTACATTATAAACCTTGGATGATGCTTTCTCCTTAGCACGAGTGATAGGAGAGTACGTTTTCATCCATGTTATACATCATTCTCTGCTGTCAGACTCAGGAGATTTCTCATATACTGAAGTGCTTTGCAGAATTAAAAATGGACTTGTCCTATACTGAAGTAGCACTCATTTCAGTAGATTTTTTTTTTTATTACAGTCCAAACTACCAAAACTGTTGAGAAAATACTTCTCAATCTGTAGCTACTATGATATATTAACAGTTGTGCTGGTTTATTGTTAAAGTTTAATTTACATTACAAAAGTATTGAATTTTTGGTCAAATCATGTTGTATATTTGGGCCACAGAATTCGAAAACATGGTCAGCTATTGATGGGATGCTGATGTCTTAGAACAGGTAATATATGGAAACTGTTGGTTGCAGTTTTCTACTGTTAAATTTGTCACATGGTCTCACAGTGCACCTTCTCTATAAACTTTTTCATATCTATTCTGAAATCTTCCAGTGTAATAAGGTGGACAAATCAACTTCAGAGACATTTTTCAAGGTTTTTATTTTAATTTTTGTCATTGTTTTTATGGTTTTAATATCATAATATGCTGCATGTCATGTCATTGATTATTTTAATAGCATGTCTCATTCTGAATTTAATTTTTAACTAAATAACTCACTATCAGGTTTGCAGAAGTCCAGGTATCTATTAAATATGTCCAATTATACTTTATGTGTACTTGTTTTTGCTTTAACAAAACCATTTCCATTTCCATAAATGTTTATTTTTGTTTAATCCAACTGATCTAATGTATGCTTAATTTCTCCGCAGCCAACAAATTACGCCAATCCAGTATATGCAAAGTTATATATGGATGGACAAAACTGTCGAAACTCCTTAGCAAGTGTTGATGAAAGAAGAGAACTCCTTCCAAAGAAAATAGATATTGGGATAAGGGAGACTGTGGCATAATCTGCTGTTACCTTTTATACTCTGTATAAATGTATAAAATATAAGGATTACTTTTCTATGTACCAACAGTATTATAATTGTTTTGGCATCAGCATTACCTCTGTTTTTTGTTTGTTTGGTTGTTTTCTGGGTTTTTCTTTTGCTGATGACTTTTGACTGACCATTTGTAAGGTATTTTTATGAAAAAGAAACTGCACTACGGTACAATTTACAACGATGCTGCTGAAATAACACACCTTTAAATTTGTTAAAATTGCAAACAACACATCCGTTTGTAGCGTGAAAATGAGCAATCTATTTTCTATGAACTTTTTTGGTTCTACTTAATCGATGAAGATGGTATCTGCACTTTTCCATTATGTAGTTTGGAAGCTGTAGTACAGTGTGTAATTTTGTTTATTTTAAATGGTGAAAGAATGATTGAATGGTCTACTCTTCTTTGTGCCCATTAGAATTTCTCTTCAGATTCTGATAAAGCTAGATAACTCTTCACAAACAAACATAACTTGCTTTTAAATTAGCTTTAGGTTGCCAAGAAGTAAACAAGACTATAGAAATGAAACATCTAATGATCTGCATGAACACAATGATTATGTTTCAGAAATTCAGTGACTGTACATGATATACTAAACATATATACCATGTAAACAAGCTTTGTATTTATTAAAACCTTATAGAACATAGTAACGATTTATCTTGGAAGCTGAAACCTTACTTGCTGTGGGACAAAGTGTATCAACTCCAACAGTCCTGTAGGACAGTAGCCACCCTAGAGCACAAGAGGGCATTGCCTACACATGCATTATATGTTTATTCACTTAATCACATGCATTACGTATGGATTAATAATTCCCCAACACCTACCAAGCAGTAGGGAAAAACCAAACCCCAAACCTTAAGCACACGCAGATGATCACGGCATTCACTTTTGACAATCACAAAAATGTCACACCTGTTTAGAGATACTAAAAAATCTAAAACGCAGCAGTTTCTTTAAATGAAGATAAACTGTGATACTGTGGAGGTAAAATATAACCAAATTGCATTTTAGCGAAACCTTACCTAAGGCTGAGTTTCAATAGTCTGGGTTAAATATCAAAAATCCAATTATCGAAAGTGAAAAGCATCAGTATCAGTTGCCAGCAGTTGCTCTGACCTGGTCTGCTTTCTGTTGTTGCTAAGAGGAAAAATCTGAGTTGCCTTTTTTAATTTCTTGAAAATAAAGAACACGATTTCTTTCAGGTTTAAACTGAATCGAAATATTTTATACATAACTAAAGGCACAAAAGACTTATTCACACATCTACTGTGGAGGACTCTTCCTTCCTCTGCTAGACATGACTGACTTTTAGCTATCATAATATATTAACCTAACAGATTAAATATGTTTGTGGTTGCTCTTTATTCCCTTTGTACAAGCATTACAAAAATAACTGCTGTTTTATAAAAGATTTTTGTTGTACTATTGTGCATGCATACTACCTATTTCTAAACTTTGCCATATTGGGGCCTTTATAAAACTCTTGATTTATGTAATACTAGTGCAATTTTGCTTGAACAATGTTATGCATATCATAAACTTTTTCAGGTTCTTGTTTAAGTACATTTTTTTAAATTGAACAGTATTTTTCATTTTGGTTATAATAGTCATTTTGCCTATGTTTCTACAATGAAGTGTTAAATACTTTATAAAAAAATTGTTGACTGAGTTATTTAAATGAAAATCTACATACTTAATTCAGTGTGTTGACTAATTTTTAAATTTAACTTATAAAATGAAAACTAAAAAAGAGCAAATTGAAGGGAAAGAACATTACTTTGTACAAATGGCTAAATTCCTTTTCTTAATGAAAATTTTTTGCTTTTTATACAACTTCTATTTGAATGTTTTTGCAGCTCTGCACATGTTTGGATAACTTAGGTGTATAGCTGTATATTATGTCAATAGACTTTTAAAACAATTTAATTTTCTATAAAAATACTGTATTAAATAGTTTCATACCATACAGCTATGATTCTACAGATTCTGCCTTTATTCTGCTGACATCATCAGAGATGGATTTGGCCCTTAAGTTTTGCATAATTACAGTTGTTATGAAGTGTAAGTAGTTGGTCTTTTCAGAAACATTACTGTTTATTTTCTGCCAGAGGATCTCATATCTTTAATACTCAGGTAGGACTAAATGTTAACTAGTGGGTATACAAGCAACATGAGTTTGAAATCATGAACTCTTATACAGACCTGATGAAATTTATTTATTGTGATGTCTCGTATTTCCTTTCAGTGAGACATTTTTATTTACTTTACACTTGCTTACGTGTACATTAGTTTTTAAAAAACTAAATTTATTTATTATCTTAGAAATACACAGTTGATGTCAGTGGAGCTATTAGATATTGGATATTAGATCAGAATCTGGTCTGAAGCTTATAGGCAGAATTTTGATGGCGATATTGAGCTCTACCACTGCCATGCCTTAAAGATCTTTAAATTACACATTGGTGTAATAATCCACAATGGATTTTTTTGTTGTTGTTTTTTACTTTACCAAGGTTCTCTGTAGGCACTGTTTCTCACAATCCTTTAACAGCCCCAAAATCCCTAGGCTCTCTAGCTGTGCAAAACACAAAAGGAGCTGGAGGGTGAAAGATTGGGAACCTGATCAATAACCTATACGTGCATTCTTGTAAGTTCAGGAAAATAATTTTGTGCAGGAAATGCTACAAACTTTTACAAGGAACAACAAAAATTTTTAACTTTCTACATTTCTAGAGCCTTCTTGCTGTTATTAATGCCACAGGTTCATGTGTGTTTTAAGTTGACATAAGTTTAGAAGAAAAAAATTGGGATAAATGTGCCTGTATCACTGATTAAAACGTCTGTCTCTTCAGGGTATAGTTGCAAGGCTTTTTGTTGTTGCTTTCCTGAAGATACTAATGACATTTCATGTGAAATGCTAGTGCTGTACTATTTCACTGAATTCATCAGGGTAAAATTTTTCTTCCACTGTACTAATAATTTTTCTAAGCAACGTGAAGCAGTTTGTGGTTCCATAAATATCAGGTATTAAAATTATTCAGGGAAATGGAATTTCTGATAAATCTAACCCTGAAATGCACTGTTCCTTTACTTTTTACTCTCGGGCTAAGGAATGGTCCTAAGTTCCTGGGTGACCATGATACAGCTCTATGTCTCTTTTTACTTTCATTACCCACAGTTTCATTCAATGGGAAAAAAACCCCACATGTAAGCTTGAAGGGTGCCGTGATGTGCTCCATCACAAACTAGGTCCTTAAATTCTTCGCTGAATGGAGAAGCTCTACGTAAAACATATGAAAGTAAGCATTTGTACCAAACTCTTAGGTAATTGTGTCTAATGGATCTTGTCTTTCCACAGAGGTTATGCTAGTATATTTACACGTAACAACAGTGCAGTGGAGTCTCTGCTTTGGGATAGGCCTCGTGTTCTATGCAAGATCTTGAGTAAACACTAAATTACAACAACAAAAGTTCAAAACGACAGACTGAGATGGGTGAATACTCTTGCTACTACGATTAGGCATTCCACACAATGAACACTGTCAACATGAACACAGTCTTGTTGATAAACACACTAGGAAGAGCATTTGAGAATACTTATTTTGATGTGCATTTTTTAATTGGTCTTTCATTTCCATGACCGTCATGGGGTTTGATGTTTGCAGAAGGAAAGCTCTGTAGTGGAATGTCTTTAAAACCACTACCTAAGTTTATTATCTGTCAGTGGGATTGTGAAGAAGGTCCTAATATAATAGTAATTATTTTATTTTTATCAAGCTCTTAGTGACCAGACTCAGTGTGGTCACACATGGAATAGAATTTTGTGCAAACACATTTCAGAAAATTTGGTTTACATAAAGGTGCATAATGTATCAGAATAAAACCAAGTATCTTCTCATGTATCCCCCTTTCTGGAAGATGAGAAGATGATAAAGGAAAGAAATGTCAGCGATAATAAAAGGTCCTTGAGGTAATCAGCCTTAAAAATAAAGACATTTTTCATGTAGAACAAGCAGATCAACAGTGAATCTTGTCTGTCTAGCCCTGGGCACCTCTGCAAAGATATTGGAGCATATGGAATTCTTCAAGTCTTAGATGGGCAAAAGCATGGCTGACAGAGGGAATGATAATTTATCATCTTAGTTCTGTAATTTATCGCGCTTACCATCTCCACATGTGTGAAATACAGTTCTGATGAAAATAAGGGTTTCTAACTTAGTATCCATATTGTAAGATGACAAAAAGGACTAAAGAAGCATAAAGCATCTTTTTGCTTCCCTGTGCTAGCTGCACATCACTTAGTACATGTTGTGACTCATGACCTCTGACAGTGGTCTTCAAAGTAGTACTTGAATAGAGGGAACTGTCTGCTGGCATCGAGAGGATGTTGAATGAGTTTTTCCTGCAAAGAAAATAATGATGCTACTACCTCCACTACTGCTACTAAACCTAATAATGATCAATTTTTGTCAAAAAAAAAAAAAAGTCATGTTATATATCAAGATATGTACATAAATACAGTATATATAGTATCAGAGCTGATATGTAGTTACTCTGAGTAGAAACTCTTACTCTGAGTAAACACTTTTAAAGTGAGTGTTCAACCTGGAGGAAAAAAAAAGGATTATACGAGCTGGTCACTGAACTTTTCTGAATCCTAAATAAGCAATTTTGAATGTTACAAGAGTTGACACCTCAAAAGATTTCAGAAAAAAAGCTGTGCAGTCAAACAGTTTCTCACTTGTGTTTCGTGTCGGTAGCGCACAAGGAGCAATCTTGTGGTACGTAAGTAGGTGTTTGATGATTCCTGAGAGATGGACAGGGTAAGACAAGCACGTGTAGATTCACCACAGCGCTAGCTGAAGAGATGATCGGTGTTCAGCTGCCTGAATAGCTCAGTAGGTCGGGAAGGGATTGCACCTGAGCCTCGGGGGGAGGCTTTCCACCTGCACCGACGTGCCCGGATGCGCTAATGTCTAAATCGGTGACCCGCGCGCGTCCCTGCTCGCTGCGCCCTGCGTAGGAGACGACGTTAAGGTACGAAGCTTTAATTCCAAACCTTACAGGCATCAGTGGGCATCACCCACAGGACTAGTAGGGTATCCCAGTCTGAGGGTGGCGGAGTCCTGGCCTATTAGCAAGGCGGGAATGAACCTCTGAAGAGCACATCGTTGCTGGCTGTGGGAGCAGTCAGCTCTGATAGGAAAGTTGCAGCACAGCGTGTCAGACGGAGCTTTCTGGCCTCTGTCCCAGACCTCATGCCCTACCGGTGGGCGTTATCATGCGCTGCTTTTCCTTCATGATGTTCAGAGAGTACAACCAAGAATCCTTGCCTCCGACTGAGAGGATGCGGGTGCAGTCAGCTCAGAGATGTTCCCCTGGGGGGTTGACTGTGTGTCAGACTCAAGCAAAATGCGTTGGCTCCCGTGATGGTTAGAGCAGCCGCTTGGAGCTCCGTTCACACTCCTAACAGGTCTT